TGGAAGCTACCTTCTATTTTAATCTCTGACTTAAGCTTTTCAACGTTAAATTTTTGATCTCCTAAATGCAGTTTTTTTGCAGGTGAACAGTTCCCAAATGGTTATTTTGAAAAACTGTGAGTCAAAAAGCCTGAATGTTTTTAAATACTTTAGCTTAAAATATTCTATCAGCAAAAAACTTTTTGGATGGAGGAAAATAAAGCCAACTAGGACTAGCTGCAGCTATTTGAAAACTGTATCAGTAATGTTTAATCAGGAAGATAGAAGTTTTATTTTCAATTCTCACAATTTTTACAGTTTTAATGAACCATCAAAGATTGTTTTTTTTATCCTTTATCTCTGAATTTACTTTTTTTCTTTAACTTATCTTAAAAATATTTCCATTGTACAACAATAACTTTGGAGTTAGAAGAGTAATCAACGTTTTCTTTCAGAATTTTGAAACAGTGTTTCCTGGTGGGTTTTGTTGGTTGTTTCCTAGCTTCCAATTAGGTTCACTTTTAATTCTTTTCCCTTCTATCTTCATTTGCCTCTGAAAATCTATCAGGGTTTAAATATGGAGAACGCATTACGAAACACGTCAAAGGTCTGACAGTAGCTGAGCTCAATCTATTAAGGTCGTTTTCATCCAAAGTGAGGAGCTCTTTATTTAAGCTAATTCTTCAGTGAATCTTCCGTTATATGGCTGTAGATGTTTTTCTGTAAAAAAGAAGGAATTAGGAAGCCTATAATGGTTAATTGATAATAATCAATAGGATAAAACACATGTAATACGGTTTTTTGGAGTATATACAAAGTGTTTTTGTTAAACAGAATGCCTGCCGTTTGGCCTCACCGACTGTAATAAAAGGATATTGCTCACCGGCAGTAAACGCTTGATGAATGTTGGGAACGGCGATTCGCTGCCAGTAGATCACTGCGTCTTTTTCACCTAACGTTCACTTTTTTAACAGCTCTAAGCATTGAGGCTATTTGAGACAGGTTTCGGTGGTGGCAGACCATCGTAGAGAACTAACCTAAGGTTCCTCTTAATAAAATTTGGTAGTTACGCTTTACGCTACCGGTTCTATGTTTTGCAAGGCCTTCTGTTTCGTGTGTTTTACATTTTGGGTTAGGGGTAAAAAGGAACCTTGGAAATCTTTAAGGACATAACAGCATTATTAAAACATTTTATTAGGAAACTTCATATATACAGTAAGTTTAGAAGAAAGATGACATGATTACTACATGATTACTATGAATGAAAATTTAATTTTGCTTATTGCGTAAGCAGACACGGATGAAATGAGTGGTTTTGAATGAGCTATGCTTAATGCACAGTGATTGAAAAGTATTTTTAAGACAACAAGCGGAATTGTCGTGAACTGAAACTGGCATTTATAAATTTTTTGGTGGAAATTTTTATTGGAATTTACTAACTGTGGAATATATCATGATAATTGTTCTTTTTTTATCATAAAAAAGTTTATCGCATCGAAAAACTTTATCATACTTCATTTCTTATTCAATTTTACTTTTTTGGTTTGAATACTGTTAGATGCTGAAAACTATCAAGTTATATGCGCGGAAAAGTTCTATCCGAGATTAAGTCTCTGTTTAGTAATTGAAAACATAGCATTGGTAATACACTGGATAATAATAAAATTTCGTTTTCGCAGTAACTTTTTGTTCATTTTAGATGATATCAGTAATGGGCTATATTTTATGGTCAGTATTCTTGTTCTTTGGCTTACTGTCATTCTCAACAGCAAATCAAGATTTGAACTCATCGAGTACGGCAACGGGATCGACGCCTTCTCCAGGTTGGGACACCTAAATTATAGATGCCTGTTGCTTTGAAAAGTAGATAACGACTATAGGGGATAAAATTTGTATACAGCTTCAGGGTCATATACAAGGTGCGTTCTTGGTTTTTAAGTAACTGCTTTTTCTTACATATTAGTTGCATATATTGTTTATCAAGGGAGAAAATATTCAACCAAAAAACTGCAGTAAATTATTTGATGACCCTAATCGCTTGATCAGAAAGTAGTTATAGTAATTTTAAGATTTCTTTTTGATCATTTTTCTGTAACTGTACTGTTGCAAATAGTTTGTCCTTTCTCCTCATAGGCTCTGAAGAAAGTACAGCTGCGCTTGAGATAACGGTGTTGGTATTAATGATTGTGGTTATGTTTATTGGTATCTTGTTGAAAGTGTGGATACTATCAGTAATTTTCACATTCTACCGCTATCTACAGTACAAGCAGTCATATGGAACAGTAATTTACGCTCACTACTTCAACAGTGGGTATGCTATTCCTTATTTGGAGTGTAGCTAAACTCTAAAATATGGATTTGTTGCAGTAGTGGCAAAACTTTGCTGCTGAACAAACTGACTGTACGGAGAAATTTTTTTTTTTTTTTTTTGACAGCATGAACATTATTTTGAAAAGACACATTCAGTTTTTTAATTGAAAAATTATCACTGTTTTGCGTAGTTTTGATATATTTTTTAGAATTATTTCATTTTTTTAAAGTCAATTTTATATATCAGATGCTCAGGTACTATTTTTTTCAAGCTTTTTTCAACTAGAGCCATAAACGTGCGACAAAAAAGTGTCATTTACTTTTCTCTCAGAGGAGTGCAAATAAATGCTGGTAGAGAAATCTTTCCACCTGTTCCTCCATCATATGAAGAGAGCCGACTACCAAATCATCGCTGGGAAACATTTTCTGGTTTGTTTTTATGCTGTTACAGCCGCTGTTCACGTGTAAATTATTTCATCATAGTTCAAGCTTTTTGTTGATATACGTCTAAGACAGTTAAACTAACCAATATTCACTCCGTATTTTTAAAAGAATAACTACTCTTATTGTCTTTGCGTTTAAGTAACACAGCGGGTTTTATGCTGCTCAAAAAGATTATTCTTTTTTGATACTTCACCAAGAACTTAGATGAGTGATTTTCAGGTGTCGATTATCCGCCGTTGCCACTGTACGAAAATTTGTCAACAACCGAGAAATCCGCTAATAATAATCCTGTTGTATGACTCGTAAATGTAAATAAAAACATTCTTTTCTTGCATACTGTTTACAATTTTTCTTCGTGTAGTTGAAATTAATAGACGTCTTAACTATAGAGCGGAGAGAAAAAAGTTTTGTGTAATACTGCAGATAGACTTCTCACCAATTTGAACGGTAAGCTAGTAAAACATGAAGAAACTTTTCCTTGACAATTCCGCGAGAAATTTTTACAAAACACATCAGAACCATCAGAGGAGAATCTATAATTTTCAAACAAGTCTTACAGAAAGCTGAAAACTTTTAGAAGTTTCACCTTACAAAAATTATTTTTTTTTTTTGCCTTTGAACAATGGCGTAATTTATCATTATGGCTCTTCTAATTAAACGAATATACTGTTTTGTAGTTCACATAAGACTGCAAAAAATTTGATTCAAAAGAACGATTATTAAAAGAAAAAGGGGTCATTTTTTACACGAAGTTTCATTGCATCAGAATGCAAATGACATTAATAAATGCCCTGAAAACCGAGATTTTTTTGGGTTTTCTCCCAATTAATCGTTAACTTTTCCGGTGAAGAAAGCTTTCGATGTTTTCCAATGTATCTGCTTCCCAGCCACTGAATGTTCCCCTTCAGCACAGTTCATTACGTTATTTTGTTAATACCACAAATTTTGCTGATAGGTTTGTTAAGTTTTTAAAAACGTTCTTAACCACAATTTATTTGTTTTTAACTATTTATTTTTTGCCGCGGTGGTCGAAATTGACCGTCGACTTCACTCTACTAATTTTCTCAAAAAACTATATTCTGGAACAGGTCTTTAGAGTACCAATTTCAATTGACAGATCCGGTCAAAAAGAATTCCAGGAGATATCGAAACTACTGTAAAGAAACTAGAAATCAGAGGATTAATTGATTTCTTCTCGACAAGAAGCTTTGTCAACTTATTATAAAGCTAATTTTGCACGCTGAATTCTTGCCTGATTCGTTTATTTAAAACCCCGAAAAATTGTACAGATATTACAATAAAAAAGATTAGACTTAAGTTTAGAATATTGTTAATGTTTGAGCCCAGGTTTAGGCCTACGCTTATGGCTAAGCTTCAGTTCAGGTTTAGGCTCACCTCACCTTCGTTAAGCTTTGACTTCAGCTCACTTTTATTATAATGTTTATTTTTATGGTTGGGCTTAGGTTTGCATCTCCTATAGTCTTTTTCATCGTGATGGGGAAGAAAAGTTAATAACTTTGAAAACTTTTATAACACAGTTTTGCCAAAGGACAAAAAAAGATGAACTTGCCGGTCATCTTTCGTATTGTAGTACACTTAAGCCTTGAAAAACTAATCGAAAAACTGATCTCCATTCACTGATCAAACCGGTACAAATGTAAAGGAGAAGAAGGAAAGCCTGAGTCCGGGCTTTACTTTGACTGAAAGATGCTCGCTTTTTACTTTTTATTTAATTAGCAGTAACAACATAGAACAGAAAGATGGCAACCAGTTTTTTGTACTTCTGAAATCTTCAACTGTCTCTAGAAGAATTGAAAGTAAACCATTGTTGAACAGTTCTCAGTCACTGGCGGCTTAAGGTTCAATACTCTAATAAAATTTTTTAGAACAAATCATCAGTATGTTTCATTTTTAAGTGTAAATTCCTTTTATTCTGAAAAAAGTTTGGTAGCACAAAAGCAAAAAATTCAGGATTGAATTCGTCAAAAAAATAAGATTTAGTCCGATAGGCAGCGCACTTTGTAAGTAAAATAAAGGTGTAACATTTATTCAAAAAATTCCTTCCCAAAAAAGGGTTTTTTATTAGGCTTAGCTATGAATATTTGATACCTTCTTAATAAACAAAGTTTGAAAGAAGCAACCTTTAATCAACCAGTTTTTTAACCAATTCAGTTGATAGAAACAAAAATCTCTGACAATGACAGCTTGAAATTAAGCATTCTAATTCTGTTCTTAATGCTAATGTAAGCCTTAAAATGAGTATATATTGTTACAGTTTCTCAAAAATATGGTGGTAAAGATCCTGTGGTTGTCTACACAGGTCCAAGTGCTCAATTCCAAGAACTCATTACTGCCGATAATTTCCCGCTGTTCCCCTTCACTGATCAGTTCAATACAGGAATTGAAATTAATCCAGCAAACAAAGTTGTAGGTTTTTCAACAAGCTACTAATCTGTCTAAAATATTCTCATCCAAAATCGTTTCTTTTCCAAAATAGAAATTCTTCTCCAGATGTTTCACAACACAGAAAGGCTATAATAAACTAGATTTTAAAGAACAGACTCAGTTTTTTTCCGATTTTAAGACTAACTAGAAAAACTGTATTTGTAAGCGATGAGTATTGACGATAAACGTTTTTAAATTTCAAAGTGTTGAAGTTTTTTGCTACTATCTATGCAGCCCATATTAATGTGAAATATTATTAAGTGATTTACTGCACACAAGATGTATTTTGAAAAATTACCATAAATATATCTATTTCAACAGTCCCGATATTGTCACTGCTACTTTGAATAACATCAAGGTGAACGATGTGGAGAAACAGACAGCCAAAGAAATTTGAAAATGACAGGAGAAAATACGAACTTTAAATAGGTGTGACTGAAACTTGTATTTTCTCTTACCATTTTCAAATTCCTTTATCTACCTGTTTCTCCGCATCTTTTCTCTCGATGTTATTCAAAGCAGCAGCAGTTACAATATCGAAACTATTGAAATAAATATATTTATACCAATTTTTCAAGATACATGCTATCTCCAACTATTCAACGATACTCGTCAAATAGCGAACAAACCTCTCTACTGACAGTAGAACCAAAAAAAAAGCGACAATTTCCTTTGATTTTTTCCATATTTTAAATTTCCTGATCTGTATTACTGCGCTTTTCCATATCAATTTCAGACAAAAGTCAGTATTTTCTTCCAGTCACTGCAGAAGGTGTAGAAAAGAAAAGAGAACTCAGAATTTAATTTATTTCAGCCGAAAAGTTTAATTTAACAAACATCTCTGTTCTTTTAAGCCATCACTTTAGATACCGACATAAAATTTCGACCTGAACCCATACAATTGATACATACGATGTTTTGCACTACACTGCGATAGTTATATGAAGTTTCAGGTCGAGTGCATTTTGTCGTTTTTTCTTTGTGTAGTACGCATAATTTTTTAAGGCCAGTTCGTGTTTCTTATATAAGCCTACCGCAACCTTAAAAAACTTTGTTTATACGAGATGTTCATTTTCACGTCTGTATCACGTCTGTATCAGTAACAAATTATCCAGATGCGCTAGTCGCAATACAGGTCACTGATCGTTTACTAGGGTTATTGACCACTTTTTTCATGGTCCATTCATTCCAGGACCAGCCAATATTCATTAGAACGATCTATAAATACGCTGCCTAGCTGTATTAATTTGGTTGGGAAACTTAGGCGCAGTTTCAGCAGTAAAAGTTCCCGTACTTCATGATTTCATGGGCAAAACGAGTGATTTTTTCACAAATTTAGGATGCTCACTTTGCGTTTAAATTTGTCGTTCAAACTGCTCACAAATTCGGTCACAAGAGGTCGCTACATTATATATTCCAACGAAATACAGAAACTTATTAGCGATTAACTTTTAAAGAATACCCTGCTTTTCTGACTAGAGTAGCATAGTCGGATAGCCCACCTCTAGTGTATTTTAACAAATTCCTAAATAATCATTCCTAAAAATAAAAACTCTTCTGGAATTACACAAGGAATGAATTTATGCAAAGTAACAACTGGTAAGTAAAAAGCGATCGGTGACCCCAAATTGATAAGTTAGAGATAAACAGTCTACTCCTGAAGCATAGTAATAACTATAAACTGATTCAAGAAAGAAAACCTCGAAAAATGAAAAGTCCTTCAAAGCTGCAGCAAGCCTGCTTCAAAAAACGAGAACTAACGTGAAAAGTTAAAGCGCATCTCAAAAAACAACCAACGACCCCCAGACAACAAATGTGTCTAGAAAGCTAATTCCTAGAGTATTCTATCAATTACAAGCTAATTTTGAAATGAATATCTCTGTCGCAAAAAACTTACAAAAAACGAACTCCGTTTCGAAAATGACCAATAAATCAACAACGATCGGAGACTTCCAGCTGAATTAATTTTAATGATCAAGCTGGTTTCAAAAAACTTGGTCAAGCTCACTCTCTGTTATTGGGCAAACCCTCGTGTTGTAATTATTATACTCGCTATGATACCTCAGAAGTGCTGTCTAAACCGCAAGTTATTTAGACACGGGCTTTAAACCATATTTTTTTAATACGCGGCAGAAGCATTTCTATGATCTTCGTTTCTAAAACTATTATATTCGCTTTAGGACCGCACAAATCAGTTTTCATTAGCAACACTTGTTTCGTACCTCACGGGTCAATTAGATTTCCTCAGATACAATCATCATTGCTAAACCTGTCAAATTTTGACTTCCTTCACTTCAGCTTGAGTCTGAAAACAACAGAAAGCATTAAGCCAAAAAAAGACGCAAGAAGACTTTACAAATGAAGGACTAGAAATGATGAAACTTGCAAATATGTCGGCATTTATAATACTTAGGTTAAGTAAACAAAAATAGAAAATATACTGTAAATAAAAGCAAAAAAAACTTTTTAGTTAACCAGTTATTTTACATTCACTTCATTAAAGGCCACGCCGTATAATAAAAACCAATGCCGCTATAATTTGCAGTCACTTGCTGGCGATTTGAATGTACCAGTTCCCGGGTGGGGTAACTTTGATATGGATGGAAATTTCTACGCAGGCAATATCAATATAGATGGCAAAGTTGGTTACCAATTTAGCCCAGTGAATCATTTAAATATAAAACCAGAAACTTTGGCACTTCTCGGCCAAAATCCAAAGTTCCGTAAAGCCCGAAGTAAGTCATTGAAAGCAACATAAATACAGTAAGCAACCCACTTAAAAAAAAACAGAATATCTCATCAAAAATTTTGTCAGTAAATATAAAAATCTGAAAAAACTCAAGTTACTGCCAGCTATTCCACTACCATAAAAATGTAGCTTTCACTTAACCAATTATCAAACTACAGAAGAGGTAAAAGAAGTAGTTGTCGGACGCTTGCCGTACGGATATGAACCTATACGATGTAAACCGCCATACTGCAACCCTTTCGTCCATCATGGGGCAGTTGCAGTAGAAGTAGAACAAGGTTTCTTCAAAAAATATTTGTCAAAAGATAGTCTTGAAAAGAAAAAAGTATCCTTAATATTTTAAAGAAAATCCTTGATTAAATTTCAAAACTCTCATAGTCGTGTGTGTAATGTTTTGGTCGTTAAATGAAGCAAAATTTTAGGTGACGATTCCTTCGTTATTGGAGGCATCGACTTTCCAATACCATTAGGAGAAAATGGCGCTGGCGTCCGTTTTCCCTTTTCAGGAGCGGTAGAACAGGGCACTTCTCCATTCGCATACGCTCATGGACATGCATTCAATCCTGTATCACCCTTCCACTTCGAAAAACTCGATGATGTTTGATAAATATACAGCACTGAAAAAGTCCATCTTAGTAACTCTTCTTGCACAGTACTTCACTAACAATGAAAATCAAAATAAAAAAAAACAATAATTACCACAAAGTTTTTAACTATACTAAACAACACTGTTTACTATCTTAACAAAGCACAGAAATGTGCCTTATTGTGATTTTCCGCGTAAGGTAAAAAACAGAACTAAGGCAGAGCAAACAGGTAAATCCGTCTCCTAAATTTAACCCCTAACCTTCGACCTCCGTCCTCCGTTCTAAGTTAATGCGCAGACTAAATACCACTTTTTTTGTCACAGAGTGAATTCTTAACCCCCGCACTCCCCCAACTGCTGATACTAAAGCTTAACCAGTAAAACAAGCTAACTGCAATGACCAGTTATAAAAGTTCAGCAGTAAAGATTTCAGCGGGATCCAACAACCATTTTCAAAAATATTCTTCGTTCTCTATTTTGAAACAAAAAAGTAGCTTCATTTCTGCTGATCCTCAGCAGTTCTTGAGACAACACGCCTACTATCGCCTGACCAAACTATATCACCATACCACCTTGAAACAACTAAAATTCTCAATCAAACTTAAAAGCTCATTCGCTTACAGTAGAACTGTTCGGCTCCTGATTCTTACAAATTCTCAGCTTTTCTAATAAACTCCGTCCTCGTCTGAACCTAAAACGTGAAATTGCAGACCACACTGACCTCTGGAATTGTTCTTCGTGAACTAAAAATCACCTTCCAATACCGCATGTAACGAATCAACTGTAAGCCGACCACTAGTGTCGTCAGTAATTAACTGTTTGGCATCCTAACCTGACAATCACAACTGTACAGCCAGTAGAGGTGCTGCTTATTTGCGAATCTCCATAAAGCAATGCAAAAAATCTTGCCGACAAAAGTTGTGTAAAAATAAGTTAATTAAACTACACCTAAGGCGCGTTTTGAAGTATAACATTTTACCCATAACAAAATTAAAATTTCCTAACACAACAGCTAACATATTTTAAATAACAATAATAACAGTGATAATAATAATAATAATAATAATAATAATAATAATAACAATAATAATAATAATAATAATAATAATAATAATAATAATATAATAATAATAATAATAATAATAATAATAATAATAATGAGATAACGATAGTAATAATCATAGAAATCTGTGAAAACAGTCGTGTTGAATAGTATAATGCAAGATATTGCTATTACAGGTGCAATTGTTGTAATAATAATGATTCTCATTATTATTGTTATATATATATATATATATATATATA